TTTTTTTTCGAATATTTGAATTTTCGAAATATCGCATAAACGCGCTTTTTCGAACATTCGAGTTTCGAACAGAATTATTCAAAATTTTTGAGGATTTTACTCGAACACGATGAATCGATCCCAATTATAATTAGCTTATTTTCTTATAATATAAATGCAGCTATCATTTTAACATCAACGAGATATGCTAAAGCACTTTATGCAAAAAATGAAACTTCGATGGGATCCGATGAAATGGTCACTTTGAAAAGGAAACTACCTAATAGTGGGAAAACACACCACTCTTTGTAACTTCCGCATCGTTTAGACGCAGAACAACTCCTTCCTCGCTCTTCACATTATCCGCTTCGTAGAGGTGGTACAGAGCTATCCAATTTCGAGTAAGTCACTAATTTTTCAAAAGAAAATACAAAAAATTGAGAGAACATTCAGAAAAATATACCTTTGGTATCCCACTTTTAAAGAGTTCCTGCATCTGCGAATGCCCGAATCTCAAATGGTGCACTATTGGAGAATACAAATACAGGCAAGACGCTGCACACGAAATGCTGTCGTTTTTATGACAGGCTTTAGGAGATGCCTGGATGGAGTGCTGTGCTATCGCACATATCACTTTCCGCAGACAAGAGAAGGCTGTAGGGGAGAAGGAGAAAGCAAGGCTTGTTGTCAAATTCGAGTAGACGTCTATGGGAATACGACGTATGAGGCCTTGGAGATCAATCAACCCTACACCGTGGCATTGCTAAAGTGAGACAGTTCGTGACCCAAAAACACTCCTCATTTTTTGGTTAAACCATTCTTTGCTTATTCTTCGCGATAAAAGCTAAAACACTTGTTCTTTATACTTGACTTGATACTTTATTTCACCTCTCGTCGTTATCTACGTCGCTAGGTGAAATGCATCAACGTCACGTAACGTTTTCATGTAACAACCTCTATGGTTATATGAAAACTTATGACAGACACAAATATCTCAATCAATAGAAAACAACTTTTAGATATGCTGTTTATGACTGGATAGAACATAGATGGAGTCAAAGACCTTCACTCCACGAGACGGTTCGGATCCCGCTCATTGGTGGAGTCTCTCGTGTTGAACTACTGAGCAGCAGACGCCATCGACTAAGAATTTCACTGGCAAGTAATCGCCCTTTCCGTGAAGTGCAACCAGGGATGTATTACGTAGAGAGTGGTAATGGCCATTCAATGATCACTTAACCTTTTCCAACGCTTAACATTAGGAAATTCGCATGTGTACGGTCACATACCTCTGAACAGAGGTGGAGAGGCATCATTGGAAAAGCTGGGCTGGTTGCAGTTTTTGGATGGTCAATGGCACATTCGGC